GTGCAGCTTCCGCTGCTTCCTTCTTATTGCATGCATTCCCTTCGTCCTTCGTTACATCGCTCTTCGTTACAACCATCCCCAACCTATCCCTCCGTTTCCCACTCCCCCTCATTCTGTTCCTCTGAGCCATCCCAACAGCAGCGCTGACTGCCAGCAGAGCAGCTTCCGCTGCTTCCGCCTCCACCAGCTTCGCCTTCGTATCTCCATCACTCTTCGTTCCAACCCCCCCTATCTCATCCCTCCGTTTTCCCACCCCCACCCCTCCTCCTTTCCCCCCCTCCCCCCTTCCCACGCGCCCCTCGCCCCATCCCGCGCAGCCATCCCCACAGCAGCGCTGACTGCCAGCAGAGCAGCTTCCGCTGCTTCCGCCTCCACCAGCTTCGCCCGCTCCGTCGTCCCCGCGCCTCTCCCCGCTCCCCTCTCCGCCGCTCCCCGCGCTGGTCGCACCCACCTCCTCCGCTGCCGCGCTGCTGCTGTTGAAGACGGTAAGCGCCGTTTCTCTTCCCATGCAGTGCAGTTGACTCAATCCCGTCCGAGCCTTTTTTTTCACCCTCGCCGGTGTTCCACCAGTTTCTGTGCCTGTGTACTATAATCCTGATACCATTGTAGAATGCCACAATATGTCGTAATAATCCATATTCTACATACTCTCCTGCAGTAGATGTTACACGTACCTTTAAACCCAGAGCTTGTCGCCCTCCCGCCCTTCCGTGTTCCATTGCTCCAGGACCGGTGAAGAAGGTGGAGGTGGAGGGAGGAGGACGACGAGCCCCTTTTGTAACATTTTGTATGCATTCCCGCCTCACCTGATCCCATCCATGATCGATCCAGGAGCGGTGAAGAAGGAGGAGGTGGAGGAGGCAGAAGAGCTGAGCAATGGCGCCGCTGTGGCCGCGCCCTCCGCATTCGAGGTATGCTCCCTCTCTTCGTTCCGTCACGCCATCCAGTCACCTCATCCCCTCACCTCGTGTTCTCTCCTGGGCTTAAGCTCTGTGACGAGACTCAGAGGTGTTCTCGGGTGCTCTAGGCAAACCCCTCCTTCAAAAATAGACACCCCATGCCCTCATCCCCTCCCCTTCGTCTCCTCCCCTCTGCCCCTCAGGTGCAGTCGCTGCTGATGGAGCTGTGCGACGAGACGCACATCGCCGAGCTCAAGGTCAAGGTGAGGGGGGACCAAAAGAATGCTACTGACCGTAAGGTCACTTTTGCCAAGTGTCTGAAGTAACAATTGTAGCCACGCAACGACGCAATCCCCGCTGGGGTTCTCTGCGAGCTGTGCGACGAGACGCACATCGCCGAGCTCAAGGTCAAGTTGAGGGACGGAGGAAAGGAGGATTTGCCTTGCATGCAAGAGCCAAACGCTATAGTAGAGCCTGACGGCTCTCCAAAAGTGGTCACATACGTTATAGTAGTCCCTGTGCCCGCCTTCCCCATGATCGAGTCCCTCCCCCCCACCGCTGCTCCCGCTGCTGCTCCCATTCACCCTCTCCCATTCACCCTCTCTCATTCACCCTCCCCCTTTCACCTTCCTCCATTCACCCTCTCCCTTTCACCCTCTCTCTTTCACCCTCCCCCTTTCACCCTCTCCCGCTCTCCCTCTATCATTCTCTATGCCAGGTGGGGTCGTTCTCCCTGCACGTCAAGAGGGACGTGGATGGCAGCATTGGCAGCGCGGTTGCTGCTGCTGAAGCCTCTGCGGCGGCTGCTGCCGCCCCGGTGGTGTACGCCGCCCCTGTGCCCGCCTTCCCCATGATCGAGTCCCTCCCCACCGTCGCTGCTGCTGAGCCTGCAGTGGAGGTTGCTGCTGAGTCGGAGAAGCCCAAGGACGAGGGGCTCGTCTACGTCACATCGCCCCGGGTGAGAGAAGAGATGAGCGCATGATCCCATCCCCGTGATATTGTCTGTTCCCCCCTCCTCGCCTGCTGCTGCTGCTGCTGAGCCTGCAGAGGAGGTCGCTGCTGAGCCGGAGAAGCCCAAGGACGAGGGGCTCGTATATGTCACATCGCCCCGGGTAAGAGATGAGATGGCTGAATGGCGGTGCTGGAATAGCCTCCGCCTGCCCTGAATGGCGGTGCTGGAATAGCCTCCGCCTGCCCTGAATTTCGGAGGTCGCGGAGGTTGCTCCTGAATCGGGGAAGCCCAACGATGAGCTCGTCTACGGCACATTGCCCCGGGTGACAGGTGAGTGCACAACCCCTTTCCTGTGACTGAGCCTCTTCCCTTCTCACACCCTCCCCACCCGACCACACCCCCTCACACCCTCTCCGCCCGCCCCACACCCCCTCACACCCTCACACGCTCCCCTCCCGCCGCACACCCTCCTCCCCCCCACCCTTCCCCACACCCCTCTGAATCCGCCCCTCAGGTGGGCATCATGCGGCGTGGCAAGCTGTACAAGGGCAAGCACGGCCGACCAATTGTGCTCGAGGTACGGCGGCGCAGTGTGGTACTCGGTGGTACAGTGCAGTTCAGTGCATTGTGGTTCTCTCACATGCAAGCATTTACAGATTAAGAAAAGTTTACAGTGCTTGACACGTGCAAGAGGCACATGGTGCTTGCCACAGCACACATGTGCACACCATAGCCTCCCCACCCCACTGTTCTCCTCACATTCACACTTCCGCCTCGCCTCACACTTCCGCCTCGCCCCACACTTCCCCCTCGCCACACACTTCACCCTCGCCCCACACTTCACCCTCGCCCCACACTTCACCCTCGCCCCACACTTCACCCTCGCCCCACACTTCCCCCTCGCCCCACACTTCCCCCTCGCCCAACTCTTCCCCCTCGCCCCACAATTCCCCCTCGCCCCACAATTCCCCCTCGCCCCACACTTCCCCCTCGCCCCACACTTCCCCCTCGCCCCACACTTCCCCCTCGCCCCACACTTCCCCCTCGCCCCACACTTCCCCCTCGCCCCACACTTCACCCTCGCCCCACACTTCCCCCTCGCCCCACACTTCACCCTCGCCCCACACTTCCCCTCGCCCCACACTTCCCCCTCGCCCTACACTTCACCCTCGCCCCACACTTCCCCCTCGCCCCACACTTCCCCCTCGCCCCACACTTCCCCCTCGCCCCACACTTCCCCCTCGCCCCACACTTCCCCATCGCCCCACTCTTCCCCCTCGCCCCACACTTCCCCCTCGCCCCACTCTTCCCCCTCGCCCCACACTTCCCCCTCGCCCCACACTTCCCCCTCGCCCAACTCTTCCCCCTCGCCCCACACTTCCCCCTCGCCCCACACTTCCCCCTCGCCCCACACTTCCCCTCGCCCCACACTTCCCCCTCGCCCCACACTTCCCCCTCGCCCCACACTTCCCCCTCGCCCCACACTTCCCCCTCGCCCCACACTTCCCCCTCGCCCCACACTTCCCCCTCGCCCCACACTTCCCCCTCGCCCCACACTTCCCCCTCGCCCCACACTTCCCCCTCGCCCCACACTTCCCCATCGCCCCACACTTCCCCTCGCCCCACACTTCCCCATCGCCCCACACTTCCCCCTCGCCCCACACTTCCCCCTCGCCCCACACTTCACCCTCGCCCCACACTTCCCCATCGCCCCACTCTCCCCATGAATGAACAGGGAGCTGTGGTGAAGAAGGGGCAGGCCATGTGCTTCTTGGAGCAGCTGGGAACCAACCTGGCGATCGAGGTGGGGGGAAGGGAGGGTTATGGGGGTGGGTCTGCTAGGGCATGACAGGGTGGTGAGGTGGCGAAGAAGGGGATGGCAGGCCATGTGCTTCTTGGAGCAGCTGGGCGCCAACCTCGCGATTGAAGTGGGTGGGAGGGAGGGGTAATTTGTATGCTGCTTAAAGTCCCACGGCTTGAAGGTGCTGTGGGACTGTGAATCCAGCTGACTTAGAACTTGAGAGTCCAGGTGACTTGAATAGTCGAATCTAAGGTCCGAAGGGGCTGGTTTGGACGCAATTCTCAGTTTTCCCTCTTGTGCCTCTAGGTGACTTTTGAGTCGACTCAAAAGTCTGAGTTGACTCAAAAGTTTGAGTTGACTCACAAGGACGCAATACTCAGTTCTCCGTCTTGTGCCTCTACTGCTGTGTTTGTGCAGACGGAGCATGCCGGCACGGTGGTGGAATTCCTGGTGGAGGATGGAGGTGAGTGAGATGCAGGGTATGGAGCTCCTATTGGTAGCTTGTGATCGTCTCCTTGCCATAGCTGTCCTGCAGATGGAAAAGGGGGAGAAGAGCGTGAGAGAGAGTGTGTGGGAATGAGAGAGAGAGTGTGTGGGAATCAGAGGGAGAGTGTGTGTCCCTTATCTTGCCCCCTCCGCATCCCTTTCCGCTTTCTACATCCTCTTCCCCCACCCTGTGAGGTACAGAGACCCCCTTCCAGCCATCCGTCCTTCCTCTCTCCCTTATTCCCTCCTTACCCTCTCCCCGTTCTCCACCCCCCTTCGTCATCAGTCCCTGTGGGCTATGGAGACCCCCTGGCTGCCATCTGTCCATCCACTTTCCCCTGATTCTCCCTTACCCTCTCCCCATTCTCCACCCTCCTATCCCACCATCAGTCCCTGTGGGCTACAGAGACCCCCTGGCGGCCATACGTCCATCCTTCCCCTTATTGCTTCCCCTCTTCCCTCCCTCTCTTCTCGTTCTCCCCCCTTTCTCCACCCCCCCCCCCCCCCCCCCCCCACGAATCACCATCAGTCCCTGTGGGCTACGGAGACCCCTTGGCGGCCATCCGCCCTTCCTTCCCCGGTATCATGAAGCTCACTTGAGCCCTTGAGCCTCATAGGACTCAGTTTTGAGGCGCCTCAAAGCGCGCCATAAACTCTTACCTACATTATGTCTAGAGAAATGGACATACGCATATAACTATGGTTTCCAGCCCAGCTTGTATCTGCGCGATTGCATGCCTGGTAGGAGCCTTGTGCTTTAGGTGGCTGGTGGTGGGCCCCTTCGATATCCTTTTTGCCACAATGGCTGTATTATCTAGATGCAGTTTCCGAAATTCTGTTTTGCACACCTTCCAATTCTCCACATTGTTACATATGGGAATTAAGCAGAACCCTTTACCCGGAAAATGGGCAAACATAAAGCTGCATACAAAACATTGCATTACTACAACACTTCGTGCCAGGGCACACAACGATTTTCCCTATGCAGGATGCGCGCTTTACTAAAGTTTGGTGCTGACTGTACCATATATGGGTTGAAAAAAAGAGAGGATGCGAGGGGGAGGGGGGAGAAGAGGATGGTGGAGGGCTAGCGCTTTTTCAGTTTAGGGTTTGGCTTGAGGAGCTGCCTCACGCCGTCAGCAGGAGAAATGTCCCACTTCTCAACATGCCTGCGCAAGAGAAGGTAGAGGGACAAGGATAACGGTTAAGGTTTGGCTGAAGGAGCTGCCTCACGCCATCAGCAGGTGAAATGTCCCACTTCTCAACATGCATGCGCAGGGGGAGGAGAGGGAGACACGAGATGGCCATGTTTGATGGAGCGGCATGGGATGGCCATCGGTTTAGTTTTGAGGCGCCTCAAAACTAGATTCCTGTCATGTTTTGAGGCGCCTCAAAACTAGATTCCTGTCATGTTTTGAGGCGCCTCAAAACTAGATTCCTGTCATGTTTTGAGGTGCCTCAAAACTAGATTCCTGTCATGTTTTGAGGCGCCTCAAAACTAGACTCCTGTCATGTTTGATGGAGCGGCACGGGATGGCCATCAGGGTTTGGCTTGAGAGCTGCCTCATGCCATTGGGGTTTGGCTTGACAGCTGCCTCACGCCATCGGGGCTTGGCTTGACAGCTGCCTCACGCCATCGGGGTTTGGCTTGAGAGCTGCCTCACGCCATCGGGGTTTGGCTTGAGAGCTGCCTCACGCCATCGGGGTTTGGCTTGAGAGCTGCCTCACGCCATCGGCAGGTGAAATGTCCCACTTCTCCACATGCACGCACAGGGGGGAAGGATGGGAGGACAAGACGTGGTTTCAGGCACCTATTGATACACATGCCGGCCAAGAGAAGAGGGTAGAGAGACATGGGAAGGGCATGCTGGGTGTCAAGGCATGCCCTTCACATGGGTGAAGGAAAGAACTAGGTGATCACGAGCCCAAGGCAAGGCACTGCCAAATGAGAAAGGCAGCATTTGAGCTGGCACAGTGGAGTATGACAGGTGGCAAGCGGAATTCATCCAGTTCAGGCTTATATTAAAGTCTGCACTTCATCCAGTCCAGGCTTATATCAAAGTCTGCACTGACTTGTATTATTACTTTTAAAGTCCAGAATTATTACTTTCATCAGCCACTTGATATTAGAGCCTGCACTGACTTGTATTATTAACTGACTTGTAAATCCATCCAGTCCAGGCTTATCACTTTAATCAGCCACTTTATATTAAATTCTGCACTGAGTTGTATTATTACTTTTAAAGTCCACAATTATTACTTTAATCAGCCACTTGATATTAGAGTCTGCACTGACTTGTATTATTAACTGACTTGTAAATTCATCCAGTCGAGGCTTATCACTTTAATCAGCCACATGATATTAAAGTCTGCACTCACTTGTAGATTTTCCCAGTTGATTCGTTGAAGTAATGGTCCGTTGCCCCGGATGCTGCAATGGAGAGCGGAGGAATAATGGCAGGGAGGGGCAGAAAACAATGGCAGGGAGGGCAGAAAACAATCGCAGGGAGGGGCAGAAACACGGCAGCTTAGTTGCACTATACGCAAAAATTGGGGAGCGTATATATGCCATACGCTCGGCTTAAAATTCTAGGGCAGCCTGGAACAAAAATCAGGATTTTTTTGCTCGTCAATTCGCGAGTAGGCGAAACCAAATAGGGTGTCGTGAACTTGCGACACATCGAATTTTGCAGCAACTCCAACTTCCAACCATTTCGCCCCCCTCCACCGCACTGCACCCTAATGTCTCTACCCAACCCAACCACCCCTCCAAACTACTATCTTCCTCTCTCACAGCTATGTGCGCTAAACCTAGTTTAGTGCGCGTAACGTAGCTTACCTTAACCAGCCCCATTCCCCAAGGCCTTTAGGTCGTTTCCGAACCTAGTCGGCTCGAAATCGCTTAGACTAAAAGGTTAAGCCATGGCGTCGCCCCTGACTCCGGGTGACTCCTCCGAAGCCTTGGCACGATGCTTATTGATTATGCCTAAGTCTATGTTTTCTGGTTGTTGTTGCAGTGGAACCGTTTGCTCCACATCCCCCTCTTCCCCCCCCCCCCCTTCAGCGGTGTTTTTGCCCCTGCCCGGACTTTTTTTGGCCTGCCCGGACTAGCGTATACGTAGCGTATACAAGGTCCCAATCCGAGCGTATTGCGTATATACGCTGGCGTATATGGCACCATACGCCCATGGCGCAACTAAGCACGGCAGCAGTATTAGCGCGGGAAAGGAAGTGTTAAGAGGGGGTATGCACTGGTTGTTGAGAATACTAAAAAACATGCTCATCTCAGAGGGGCAGAAACACGGCAGCGGCATTAGCGAGGGAAAGGAAGTGGGGTGTGGGAATCTATTTTTTTGGCACGCCTAAAAACGAGTAAGGGTGGGAGGGCAGGGCAGGGCAGGGCAGGGCAGGGCAGAAACACGGCAGCGGTAATAGGGATGGAAATTAAGTGGAAAGAGTGGGCTTTTGTAATGGTGCTCGATATCGGGTAAGAAATGGTAAGAAATGGTAAGAAATGGCACCCCAATGCAGGAAGCAATCAATGACTGGCAAAGGGGGGAACAATCAAGACGGAGGGAAGAGGGTTGGGGTTACAGGGTGCGGAGAGGATGGAAATAGGGTCACAGTGATAGGATGGGGAGGAGGTCCGGGGGATGAGAGGGAGGGGGGTAAGAGGGGGGGGGATGAGAGGGAGGGGGGTAAGAGGGAGGGGGATGTGAGGGAGGGAGGGAAAGACCGTACCAGCGAGTATAGGACGCCATGGCAGGCCCAAGACACAGCTGAATCGCCACTTTGCAGTAACCATGCCCTGCGGTTACATTGGCAAGCACACATGTTTGAAACAAAATGAGTTAAAATTTAATGGAAACACAGAAAAATAATATAAGAGAGGGGACATGCACACATAAACAGAAAAGGGTTCCTTGACATAGTAAACCATCAGACTGCTAGCATCAACCGCAATACCTCGGACTCCTGCCAGTCGAGAATCTTCAAGGAAACTTCCTCCATGAACGACCCGAGGTTGGACACGTTCTGCTTGAATCGATCTCGGCCGTTGAACGACACAAAAGGGTCGGCAAACTCGCAATCTGGTTCGTACAGCCACATGGTCATGTCACCTGCGGGTTTGGAAATGCGTGCAGATTCAGGGAGCAGTGGAGAAAAGAGGCGCTTTGAGTCGACTCAAGGGCACATGGCCATCGTGTCGCCTGTGATTGTAGAAAAAGGTGCCGAATCAAGTTTTGAGGCGCCTCAAAACAAGGGTGCAGATTCAGGCAGCAATGAAGAATAGAGGCACACAGGGATTGGCGTGTGGGTGAAATTCAGAATGTTTTGAATTTATGATTGCTCAAACAAGATTGCTCCCACACTAACAGTAAGGCTCGTGGCGGGATTCTGCACAGGCTGGGTGTGCGGGTAAAAGAGAGGCCCAGTGGGGATCCATGATTCCTTGTGTGAAAGAGAGGCCCAGGTTGGTTCGAAACGCGTGGTAAAAACTGACTGACATGTGCAGACTCAGGGGCAATGGGGGAGCTTTTGAGTTGACTCTTGAGTCAACTCAAAAGCCACCCAAAAATCAGCGTCGTTACTGATTAGTGCAGATTCAAAATTCACCCGTCTGACTTTGAGTTGACTCAAAATTCACCCGTCTGACTTTGAGTTGACACCCGTGCGTGTGTGTGTGTGTGCGTGTGTGTGTGTGTGTGCGTGTGTGTGTGTATGTGCGTGTGTGTGTGTGTGCGTGTGTGTGTGTGCGTGTGTGTGTGTGTGTGTGCGTGTGTGTGTGTGTGTGTGGTGTGTGTGTGTGGTGTGTGTGTGTGTGTGCGTGTGTGCGTGTGTGTGTGTGTGTGTGTGTGCGTGTGTGCGTGTGTGCGTGTGTGTGTGTGCGTGTGTGCGTGTGTGCGTGTGTGCGTGTGTATGTGCGTGTGTGCGTGTGTGCGTGTGTGTGTGTGTGAGTCTGTGTGTGTGTGTCTGAAGGAGAGTGAGAGAGCGAAAGAGAGGGAGTGGGGAAAAGAGAGAGGGAGTGAGACTCAAACCCATAAGGCACATATCCCATTGATTATCTCTCACGCAGTAAGTCTTGTCATAGTCTATATCACACTTCCCATCCCACTTGTCACTTCCCACCACTTACCCGTCACGAAGTACGACTTGTCGTAGTCTGCCCTCAGCGCTTTAATCGCCGCATCGCGCTCAACTACCGCGGGCTCCCCGTCCACCATTGCGCCCTTTGCGCCTCCCCCCTCCCCCCCGCGCACCGCCGCGACCGCCTTCCCGAACGCCTCGGACGCGTACCACGCCAGGCGCACCATGGGGGACGTTTCCGCCGTCGGCCCCGCGCGCTCCTTTCCCTTCCGCCCTGCCCTTTTCTCCGCGCCTTCGGGTTCCGGCAGCGCGGACGCGCGGATGACGCTTCCCCGTCGGCCTGAGAGCCTACGAGGCGTCGTAGCGCCGTAGAAATCGGCGGAAAATCCGCTGGAGAATGCGGCTTTGCTAGTTAGCAGCGAGGCTGGGGACGCGGCAATCCCGCCGGCTTTTGGCCCTAAGAGGGCACGCGAGCTGGTCCGCGGAGGCGTAAGATGAATTCGCGGAGAAGCTCTTAGCGAGTCGTCGGGCGAACAGTGGGAGGGGTGGTTGACCGCGTAACAACGAGTGACGGCGGCGCCTACAGCCGCCATGGCTAGCCGCTGGGTTATGGCAGTTATACAATCGACGGTGATTAGGAGGGGGCGCGGGAACGGGGCGGAAATTGCGCGACGCTGTTGACGGATTTTTTTCTGGGGAGTGAGGGAGAGTGAGGGGCATTGACTGACGGAGGGTGGTGCAGTCGCCATACTCGTTAGAAGCAGCTGACGATATAATCAAACAATGTGTGAACAATGAATCCGAGATTACACATCACGTACCCTGCTGATTCTATTCAATTGCCATTACCATAACTCAGCTCATCCACTACCATAGTTTGTATTATCCTCAGTATTTTCCCCAAAATCAGAAAAGGTGCTTAGGGAGTGTTGTACACAATACAGTACAGCAACATGCATGTTGTTTGTGAAGGTTTTGCTTTGCACCCTACCACTGACCCAAAATGGCTGGGTAAGGTTTAGAGGGAAACTGAATGCTTATGACATGCCCTAAAGCAGTAAAACTAGCTCCCACCTCAAATGGGCTTATATCGGTACTTCGCTAAAATCTTCTAATGAGTGCCTAGGGCAAAGAATGGACTACGCGGATGAGTAGGCTGCAGCTCCGTCACCGTCACCTTCAACCACCAGGTCAATGATGCACCACTCGGCGTCGTAACCGTGACCTAAGCTCAGCATTCTCCTGCAGTTGGGTTGGGAGCATAAGGGCAATAGCAGCATCAGCATATTTAGTTAAATTGCCATGCAATGGACTGTCTGTGGACTATCGATGGACTGCCTGTGGACTGTCTGTCTGCCGTGCTTGGGCTGTCAACTTATATATATGTTAATATGTAAAATTTTAGGCTAAATAGGTTTGTGTTCATTGAGGGTACAACTCCAACCCTAAATCCTCTCATGTACTCCCTTGTTCTAATTATTATGCTACTCTAAGATTGGCGATGGATTGTCCTGAGACGAATTACTCACGCTTGTGCAAAATCCCTCCTCACTGTACTGTTCACCATGGTTACAGAATGTGTAAAACATGACAAGCCAGACTAACTCACCCTTGTAAGAGCAGCAATGGTGGCCTCCAGCTTTTCATTTTCAGCAGATAGTGCTGCCTCTCGCCCCTCCATCGCCTGAAAAAAAAAAGGAGGTAGGTTTATAGCAAAAAATGAATTGGCATAGCACAACCAGACAACCTTCGATCTCAAAAAACCAGCTGGTATGAATGAAAGCAGAGAAGGGCGGGGAAGTGAGGACGTAGAAGTGATGTGTGGCTTGCAAGAATATACGGTATTGCTTACAGTAATGTAGTACTTTTTCTTCTCTCTTGCTTGTTGCGCACTCACTCTGTTGCGGAGCAACCTGCATCCCAGGCAAATCAGGTTGACCAATCACGCCACAGCCACACCCCCCAAAATACACAACCCATATCCAGAAGCGCGTATCGGGGAAACCCTAAAAGTTAGTGAGCTAGGATAACTAGTAGTATCTAGATAAGGCGCGATGAGGGCAACGACAGAACCTGGATATGTGTTCGCTTCAACTCAACGCACCTTCTTCGCTTCGGATCGGCTGTCGGCGGAATACTAGCAGCTGCGGAAGGCATGGCGGAAGCCACAGCAGACGGCACGGCGGGGGATGAAACCGCAGCAGGCAGACGCGAAGCAGGCGGGAATAAAGCCACGGGAGTCGCATCGTCGCGGTCACCGGGAAGCGAGAGACGAGTGGCGAAATCAAACCGGCCGTCGCGATCGCGAGCGAGGGGGGGAGAGGGACAAGCGGAGGCCGCTGGAAACGCGGAAGCAGTCTCGGCGGAGGCTGCAGGTTGTAGCGGCACAGACGGGGACGACGGAACGAGTGGGAGGTCCGCGTGAGAAGCGGAGCGATCGGCGCGCGACGGGACGACAGCGCACGGCTCGCTGGCGACGGCGACGACGAAGTCGGGCTGCTCGTCGAACTCCAAACCGTCGCCGTGCGAGTGTGCGACGCCGTCTCCTCCCTTTCTCTTCCCAGTCAGTTTCGCCTGCGCGACTGCTGGCGACTTGAGGGATTGAGCGTTCCGCCCTACGAGCGATTGAGAGTTCCGCCCTGCTAGAGCCTCCCGCGTCGCCGCCACTCGCGCTTGCCTCGCCATCGCTGTGGCTTCCGCGTGCCGCTGCTTGAACAGGTGATGACTGTAAAGCGGATGAGGTTGGTAATAAGCCGGGTGATAGGGGCTCACCATCGGATATTCCGCATGTGGGTAGTCAGAATAGTATGAGTCATGATCATAGTTCTTAGTCGTCTCCGAGGAGTGGACATCCTTAGCAGTCGCCGGGGCGCCAAGCTTTAGCTTCAGATCAGAATCCAGAAATCCCCAGGACAGTTCGTCGAGCGCGGGATCGCCGCCGCCGCTGCTGCTGTGCAACCCCGCAAAATCCCCGCCTGGATCATCCGCGACGTCGATCTCGCCGTGAGTCTCGCCGTTGTTCTCGGCATCGTTGAAAAAGGGCGTCGGGATGTGACCCATGCTGGCGCGATCGGATCGGCCGGTGCGGCGAAGACTCTTCGCGGGACCTGACGCATGATGAAGTGGATGTCGAGTGGGTTGATGTCGAGCGGTCTGCTGAGGGGGAAAGCCGTAGCTTGGATGAGCTCCATGCGCCGCCGCGTGCGCCGCTGCGTGTGCCGACACGTGCGGAGACATGTGCGGGGGAGTCATGTGAGGCGGCAGTGGCATGTGCATCGGCGCGCCGTACATGGGGGGAAACGGCGCCCCGTAGTGGTACGGCGCGGAGCCGCCATAGCCTGCGAATAATGACAACAGAGGTGAGGTGTCAGGTACGAGATGACAAGCAAATACGGTCGTGTCACGGTAACAACGCACGTGGAGTAGCCATGGGTACGCACAAAAAACGACGCAAATGGAAAAAAAAGACTCTCTAGGAGACGGGAAGTACAAGCATGTTCAATGGGTCAGGACTCAGGACCGGCTTCGCGGGAACGCACCAGCAAAATGATATGGTCCCGCTAAATACGACGGGATCCCGTGTGTCACGCCAGGGAAGCCAGCATCCGACGACGACTCGCACATGCTCATATCTCCGATACACACGCTGATGGCCTGGATGAAGGGGAAGGAGTCGATGTCGTCTCACTCTACGTAGAACGCTGTGTGGAAGTGCGAGGCTAAAACGCTACGTGGAAGTGGGAAGGCTAGATCGTTATGCCTTGAGAGCGAAAGCTGCAACGCTTAGGACAATTGAGTGGAAGTGGGAGTGTGTGCACTTCAGGATAACATAATCCACAGGTTCGTACAATTCACGAAGGTCGTGACAGCCACTGTGATTGGACAGGAAGAATGAGCGGGCAGGAATGGAAACCGCAGACGGAGAAGCCGAAGGGAAGGGCGAGCGGCAAGCGAAAAGGTCTGCGGGGGAGAGTTGGTGGGAGAAGCGCTCCCCCCAACCCCCCTCTCCCGCCCCCCGCAGCGTTTTGCTGAGCTAACACATCCCCGTAGTGTGCCTCTCCAATTTGCTCCATTTCTCCCCTTCTTTCCCCGCCGTCTCTTCCCCTTCCCGCTTGCTCCGCGAATAAATCTGTGATTGATTGTGTGGTGAATCCCAGTGCTGCGACACGGACGGCTAAAATCTGTCCACATTTTCATCGGACGGATGATATTGAGAAATCACTGCGCGTGACAGGAAGGGGGGAATGCTAACCTCCCCCTTCCCCGACGACACTTGTCCCGGGCTTTACAATCCCCGAGAGTCACCGCAAGATCAACTGTACCCTTCATCCAAGCGTCACCCTGTCAGCCACCAACTCACGCCTGTTGCCAGATCTGCAGCCAGCATGGGATTGCGTGCAGAACCCCACGGCGTATCCCCTACTGAAATTACTGTGTGTCCTTTTGTGGCTCGGGTGAACGGACAGGAATCGTCCACGGAAGCAAACCACTCTCTGATCAACATTTGGCAACGAACTGCCTGTAAGCTGTAAAATCTGTCATAAATGCAGGCTGGCCAGCTCCGGTAGAGCGGATTCATGGACCCATTTTGGTTGCCATCCTGGTACATATATTCTACTACGTGCCGTATGATCCATCCTTTTAGCTAACCTGTTTTAGTGTTCAATAGATAAACTATAAAATCCCACGCTAGGAGTGCATTACAATCCTACACTCACTTCATGACCCTGAGCGTCCCCTTTCATGCGTATACTATAACCATAGGTTGGTGTGAAATGGAAACCAATTTCAAGCCTCCTTTCCAAGGGAAGGTGACAGCGTGTTGTGCCTTAGCAATGCTTTACTATGACACCATTGATTTTAGCCTTTGAGAGGCCGAGTCCAAATACAAGGGTATACTAGGCAACTTTGCCTGGTCATTTGAATCCTTTCTCCCCCTCCTAATCAGCTGCAACATGAACATGATACATGGGTAGTGGATGTATGCATGGTGCGAGCGTCAACTTGGAAACATGCACGCGAAAGCATGAAAAGGTTCAACAGTGCAGTGCTTTCTCACCTTTGAAGCCCAGTGGCGCTCGGTTTGCTCACACACATCACGAATGTCTCTCCCGGACATGCTGCAATCACATTATCACATGCAGGGGAAGACGGAAATCCATAGTAGGAGAACGACAACACGAATATAGGAGGAAGAAGAAAAAGAACAGGTACATGTTTGTAGGGAATGGCGTGGCAGGGAGAGCCTACCCATCACATGCTTTCGCAAGGGTCTCTCGGTCGCCGCGCATAGGAGGAAGAAGAAAGTCTACACGTTCGAAGGGAATTGCGTGACAGGAAACGCCTACCCGTCACATGTCGCATGGGTCACTCGCTCATCGCGCATAGGAGGAGGAAGAAGAAAAGCATCTACAAGTTTGAAGGGAATCGCGTGGCAGGGGCGTTTACCCGTCACATGCTTCCGCAAGGGTCTCTCGCTCTTCTGCTGTGAGATGGCGGGCGTATTGCCCGATGATCAACGCCCGCGTGTGCGCGTCCGGAAGGCTGAATGTGATGGCTGCATCAAAGCGACTGAGACATGGGTGGGGCATGGGGGAGACATGGGTGAAGCATCGGGAGGCATGGGGGAGGCATGGGGGAGGCATGGGGGAGGCATGGGGGAGGCATGGGGGAGGCATGGGGGAGACATGGGG